GTATCCAAGCTTGGGGAACAGCAGAACCCGTTTTTGCTGCCGGCCGCGATTCGAATGCGGATTCGAACCACAATCAACGAGCGCCGCGCTCGATCACCGCTTTATAGTATCTCTCGCACGGCTTTCATCATTATCGGCTTGTTGGTCGAGTGAAATGTCGCAACATCGTCGCGACATCTTCTCTATTGGAACGACACAGTTGTTTGATCATTTATGTGCTGATTACTGTAATGGTACGGTAGAGCTATGAAAAAGAAAAAAAGCCGAGCATCTTTCTTTCCCAGCTCTCCGTTTTCTTTTTGCTACAAACCAAAAACTCTAAGGTCAAACCTGAAATTACTATTACCTCCAATTTCATACTTTAACGCTCAAGCTGCTATTAACATTTCGTTTTTCCCAAAAACCTGAAAGTCCTCTATGTCTGAACTACTGCTCAACTCTTTACTTTTTATGCTTCCAAAACGTTTTCTTATGAGAAAAGCTACAATGCGATGACCCTTGACTGCGCGACTACATAAGAAACGCATCGGCGAGCTCTTTGTCAAACGAAAATCTGTGTTTTCTGATCGTTGAAGTGAAAACTAAGCATGGTTCAATGCTTGCGACTCCACTAACATGAATATTTTCGGCAACATTTTTTTTCTAAATGAGCTGCACCTTCCTAGGTTTCAGAATGAATTCGCTGCACGCTCGAAATCATCTCGTTTCTAATCCCAATGAAAGCTTAAAGGTGTGAAAGAAATGATTTTTCATATTAGCTCAAAAATTTGCCATCAGCTTTTACATTCGTTGTTGATCATGAAGCAAGTGAATTATCCATCCAGACACTCAAAACTCTTCTTGTAGTTAGTTTATTTGAGCTTACCTGACATAAACGTTGCTCTACATATTTTTTCAATTTTTGAATGAAATTGTATCTAAAACTTGCACTTAAAAAATTCTTTCCCTCAGTATTATGCACTGCATACCTTGACTAACACTAACATTCTGTTTTTCCTTGTGTTTCCTCTCCGCCTACAAATTTATTCAACAACTTGCGTAAATCAACCTTCACCTTTTTTCGTTCAAGACGAAATGTGATTAAAACAGATCATAGACAAGATCTGATGGATGACAGTGTCTAGACTTCACAAAACAAAAAGCTGCAAATGATTTTGCAAAAAATGCCTGCGCAAACTAATCAAGAGTTTGATTGAATGTAGGTATGCCTTGGATTTTTGATATGTAGCAGAACGACAGACTGAAGCACAATTACGGTAGGCAGAGACTTGTGAAAACTGGCTAACTAATAGAAATATAATACATCATATCTATCCAATCTACATCTCAGCTATTAAACTATCAGCCATAGGATTACAATTGAAACAGTTTAAGAAAAGTTGAAGATAGAAATCTATTTTTGTGAACCTGCCTCTTACAAAGTACTAGCTGATAAAAGCTTTTATTCCTGAGATTCAGTTCGCAAAACATTGAAGCTGACTCCAAGTTCCCGGATTTTCCCATGCTCTGGTAACAATAATGTTTTTTTACAGCTCACAACTGATTGGTGATTATTTGAATATCCTACGCTTTATTCATCTTTATAAGTAAAAAAGTGGAATACAGCACTTTTTGAGACGCTTACTCATTCACAATAAATGTTTTGAGCAAAGATACGGAAAATTCTTGCTTATGTCGGAGCACAAGGCTGTAAATGTTATTTATTCTTTCTTCGCATGAAGTGTTGCACTTGAACATAAATAAATTCGCTTCCTTCATTCTAACAGGCTCTTGTCTAACGAAAGAAACAATCATGCGCATTCCATGCTATAGCAAAAATGTTACGGCGTTATGACCCCAGAATAGCAGGTATATGAAAAAGTTTTGAATTGGTTTACTTTGTGTTGAAGAGGTAGGACACTACCATGAATCATGGTTGATGAGTAGCAATTGGTAGACAGTGGACAAGTTGGGAACACAAAAGGCAATAGGCAATCTTCAAATCTCGTCCATCGCACGATGTTTTCACTATCTATCCTTTAAAAAAGTATAATCACTTTTAATGCATCTATTCGTTTTGTATGTTCATTCTTCTGCTTTTCTATAGTATTTTGTAATTTTGCAGCAAAAGTCATCCTCTGTCTAAGTCTAAATCATGTTGTTTTTATGCCTCATTCAGAAGCTTAATGAATTTGTAATATAGATTTCACAGTTGTTAATCTACATTTTGTTTTCGATCACCTACCTTCCCTCTCCGGATAATTTCAGACAACTCGTGCTTCATTTTTGACTGCCAGGCACTTTTCAGAGCTTTGAAAACATTGTCAACCAAGCCATCAAGGAATTTATCCTTAGCACTGTTATGATTGATTGCTAACGGATGATTTCAGCTCGTCATCATCCAATCTCTCGTCAAAAACTCGCTTAAACAAGCCCGAATACTTGTTGAAAAACTTATAAATGTATGATATGTTTTCGAGTCTTTGATGAATTCATACACATGCTTATGTAACAGCCTATTATTGAATAAGTAGATCTACCCGAATAGGCTTTTCAAACGCGTTTTGAAGTTGTAGGGATTAAAGACACTATTTCATCTCATAGCAGCCATTCATTTTTCGAAAATTTCGGTTTGCATCGGAATTCTGCGCAAACTTTATGCACATGAACCGAATCATGTACTTATAGCAAGTATAAATAAAAACAATTTCCTGCTCTTGCGGTTTGCACCTTTACATCGACTTTTTCATTTTTACATCGCATGAGCTCCGGACTTCTCTAAGGCCTCGGACATACCTCACGCGATTTCAGTCGCGACGCGATTTGGCAATACTCCAAACGTTCATAACTCATCGTACGGGGATTCCGAATGTACGGAAGATGGGGCATTTTATCAGCCTACGAAAGTTATACATGCTGTACATTTGGGGTCTACCAGTATTGAATTTGAAAACATCTGGCAAATTGCCAGATCGCGTGGCGACTGAAATCGCGTGAGGTATGTCCCTTGCCTAAAAGATACAGCAGTTCTTGTTCTTCAATCTATTCATCGCAAATGTAGTGCGCATCATTTTCTTAATATTCCTACAATGTGTAGATAGCACTGGCTGAAAAATGTTCTCAATAAACACAAAATTGTGTATTTTCAAAAGGAGATAGTAATTCTGGAATTAACGCTTACCATTGATATTTCTCGCATAAAGTAAAAAAAAGTAAAATCATGGTTCGCTTAGTAATCTCATAATAATTCCACTGTTCAGAGTCTTCAGTTGTTTCAAAATTATTTTGTCGCTATTATTAACGTTTTGCTATTGTATCGACTGCCTGGGCTTATTAAATCTATGCTCTCGTATTTATTGGAGAATATGGGTCCTGATTTTGCGAGAAAATATTGCCAGAGTTGTAGAGATTACATTCGCTTTTAATATTTCTGGAAACCGAATGCAAATACTTATGTGACCCCATGGCGACATACATATCTCAAGGTCTTGTGAGGTTTTTGGAACATGGAATGAGTTTTAGATACATCGAATAGAGATAAAGAATAAAAAAGGTTAGCGCAGTCAGTGACCGCAAAAAAATTTCGACCCTTTCCGGGATTTTCTTAGCTAATAAATTAACAACACCTAACAATATTGAACTTTAGCACTATGTTTCGCTGATTTTAAACTTACCACTATCACCATTGCTGTTTCTCTTATGCCTTATGCAAATGTTGAATTAAAAAGTGACATAAAGATGAGATCTCTATGGTTGTCCAATCGTTTTTCTTGATAAAATCCACCTTGCGCTACAGTGCTTGCCTGCCCGAACTGTTTATAAATCTTCAGAAAAAGCTAAGAGACATTCGATCGCCTCTGCTTCCACAGTGCAGAGTGCATTTCCTGGAATTTTTGCGAAGCTTTCGAAAGCTCTTTCACCTTCCTGAATATCCGCGAACAGGTCACTTAGCGACAGTTGAAATGGCGGTCACCCGCTGGGTGCACCGGCTCGATCAACGGGTTCTCATTAGCATGTGTATCTCTATTGGGATTTTCCCCCTCCGTTCCAGAGGAATTTTTCATGCAATCATATCCGTACGCTTTTGTGGATGATTCGATACGATTCTCGTCTCGAGATTTTCGATTCGCATGTTTGTTGCACATCATTCCCCGTAATGTCTAATCATATGCTAGCTTGTGGGAAGTCTATCTGATTACATGATGAGAAGAGTAAGGACAGCAACAATGAAGTTTCGTCTAAACATTGTTTTCAGAAAAGAATGATAGCTATTTTTCTGAACGTCCAAGCTACCAGAAAGATCCCGCCAAGATATTTGTGATTTCAGTAATAGCGAATTAATGTTTACGATGATCCATCACAAGAAAATAAACTTTGGTTCTGTGTAGCATAATTAAGGAGACAAAAAAGGAGGATACCGCACTTTTAACTGATAAAAAAGATCTTGGCTAAAATGACAACAAGACAAAGAGAAAGCTTTCTATTACCAGAAGAGCTATCATTTGAGGGCAAACTATTGCGAATCTGACTTTACCCTACTTCTCAAACTTTGGCAGCTGATACTAAAATATTTGCGATTTGGAATTTTGATTAAGCCGATTTGCTCATTCTACATGAACCAGTTTAGCTCTTTATGATATGATATATTATTGCATTTTGAAAAATGATTTTTTATTCAGTGCTTTGTATTTTGCCTCTATTACACTTCTTACCCGTTCTTCGCATGTTTCTCTAATCTTCCATGATTTTATGCGATTTCGTACGTCAGCTGAGTAATTTATGCCTATGAAAAAAATGCGACCAACTGTGCTTTTTCCTATTTTGTTTGAGTACTTGTATGTCCAGCGATTTTCTCCCCTTTTTTATTGTTTTTTAACCTTTTTCAAGCTTTCGCCTGCTTCTTACAATCGTTGCCTATTCTGCGACATTACCTGAACATTATTTGCTTACCTTATCTTTTTACCTTTTGACTAACTTTTTCACTTGACATATTCTAAAAAGTTTGTATCCGGTATTATAGGATGCGGCGACGGCGTGGGGAATGGCTATTGTTGTCGATGTTACCTTGCTTGGTTTGTAATGACATTTTACTTTTTGTACATTTACTTCCTACTTCATATTCTTCTTGTAATCCAACTAAGCTAATGTTCCAGTCATCGAAGTTTATGGTTTTTTCAAGGTTTTGGCGCAATCCGGCTACGATGCACAACCAATTGGCCGATTCAGTGCTGAAGACAACGTCGGTCACTTCCAGCCGCCATCGCCACCCAGACCAGTTCCTCGAGGCTATCAGGTCGGGTTTTTGAAGAGGAAGAAAAAAATTGCTGCAAAATTACGTGTGAAGCACTTTTGCAAAGATTTATGGCTTACACCTCATTAAAAAATGATAAAAAATCCTCATTTCTAAATGGGGCAACTTAATGTAGAAGCGTTTCTTAATGAATAGAGCAGTCATGCAATTCTTACAGGGAGTCTGTCCTTCCTATTTTCCTTCAAATTTTCTTGTAATCCATTAAAAGCAGGATTAGGTAAAGTGAGTAAATTTTTATTCGATCTTTCGTTTTCAGCCCCCACCATCTCCCCTGATGTTCCAAGCCCCTCGAAGTCGGTTCAATTCCGCGGAACCTCCCCAAAACATATATGCCATTCCCAACTACCGTAAACCACCAACACCAGTCATGGCTCCTCAGTCTGTCGTACGATATGTGGTATGTATACAAGTCATGGTAATCAACTTTTTCTAATGATATACTTTAGGGTTCACGACAAAATGTTAGAGTCGTTGGGAACGAGGTAAATTTTTGGAAGGAATCTCATTTTTTCCACAAATGCATTTCACACACACGTCACACCTTTGAGCACACACATTTATATGAAGATAGAGGAAGGGAAAATACTATAAGAAAACAGTTTTCAATGGAGTCAGGCTTTCGCTCCGAAAAAAAAACCGAATCTTCGGTTCATTTTTGATTTTCGCATTGAGTTGCTTGGCAACAACGTTGGATCTCGTGGCGAAAGCCTGACTCCATTGAAAAATGTTTTCTTATTTTAATTTTCAATCGTGTCGAAGTAATAAATAAATTGAGAACTGAGAGCATATGAATTGATAGGCAAGCGTAATGGGGTACTCAAAGAACCTTTGGACAGACACAGCTTCCTCAAGTAGAAATATTTTGAGATTCCCCAGCTTTGGCAAACGGTTAGATATCAGAATTTCCTAGTGTAAATTTACATGAACCCCCTGTAGCGTTCGTAATTTTTAATTGCAAAAATGAAGGGTTATCGATTTATGACTTGCAACGATACGCAATTTTCCTTTATTTTCGCAGCCTAAGCAGGCAATGATTTTCAGCCCATTTTGCATCAAAATTTTTTCTCGAGTAATTTGTCTTTTTTATCTGTAAAAATTCAGGAATTTTTCGCTCATTGAAGCGCTTATTAGGAAAAATGTTCCTTTACTTTCTGGATTATGTTAAGTTTAGAACAACGATTACATAAGGTGTCATCATTTCGAAGATGTTTTTTTCATGATGTATTGCACGTCAAATTTAAGTTTAAAGAGTTCCAGAGTCTGAAATTTTCGGCTTTCCATGGTCGGATTTAGATTTCTCCACTCTCTAATAGAATTCTTCACAAAAGAGTAGGCTAAGAAACAAAAAAATTTCCATGGAAGCTAGAGGCTACTTGGATTTTCTCAAAGTGACATCGAATTTGCCAACTTTATCTTTTTTTTTCCTTTTTACTTCTCTAATAGAAGAAAGGCCAATTTCTGCACGATGACTTTTGTTCACTTGCCTAGATCGAAAATCCGTAGAGATCAAGCTAACTTGTTAGCTAATTAGTTTTTTTTTGTACAGCCCACACATAGTGCATAAAACTTGAAATCGAGATAACTTCTCGTTATTTCGGCGCTAAAGAAAATCTGCACTAGGACTGGATCTTCACATGTAATGCCGGGTTGGTAAATTATTGCTTTAAAGTTTGAAGGGCATCTCGTTCTTCAACAGATCTGAGAGAATTATCGGGGATTTCAAAGCCAAAGGAAATTCATGAGATTAGCAAAACAAAACCAACAGTAATTATGAATCTAACCAGTGCACCAACAGAATAAACAATCTGCACCACCAGCACTAGCGCCACCAGTTGGCTTTGTGGAAGGATGGAGTGATCAGCAGATCAAACCTCCGGCACTGCCCGTACCACAACCATCAAACCCTTCACGACTAATCTACACACCACAGGTTTGCTCCTGTAATTCTTACAGGCTATTAGTAATCGTAGGGGGGGGGGGGAGAAGGAAATGTAAAGAAATAGAAAGATCATATTGAAATGAGTGCTCACCAGATTTCTTTGATTTTGGTTTTTTTTCCATGCATTAGGCCAAAATTTGTATAGGCTATTCATCGCAAGCAGAAACTAGACGCCATCGCGTCCAGTCAAAACAGTGTGTGTTTGCGAGAGACAGCAGACGGTTAGAGGAACGAAAATGCGCATAATATGGGAGACGCAGACAGTGCCCGCAATGGCGTACTGTTCCTGCGTACGATGATTGGGCTATACATATCATTTTCTGATTTTTATAAACTTATTGAGATTACTTTTATTGAAATTTATAAAAGCGATTATTATTGGTGCACTATTTTTTCTTTGTTTACGCACACCAATAACACAGAATGCATGGCTTACATCTCACTAACATCAGCTTCTTTCACAGCTAACACACCGGCTTCGACCTCCATCACCATCAAGAGACACCTGAAGCAGCACCTGTCCGAAATTTGTAAGGACACCATCGAAGAAGAAATTTTGCCTAGGTAACAGCTCATCGAGATCGTGGTCCACCAGCTGCTCGACCGCAGGAGCAGCGACAAGTCCAAGTCAAAGTTCAGCCGGCTGTTTCGAGCACTGAAGAGGTTTTGGTGTTTGGAAGCCTTTAATTGCTTATTTTCCTGAAAATAATGGGACTTGATAATGCTTTTTAGTTTACTCTAGTTGCTCTTTCAGTAATATTCATGTGCTTTCCTACATATAATCGCTTCTTCTCAGGGCACAATTTCCAAGAAAGATTAAAAAAAATAATTCAAAGCATCAAAAACTTACACTCACGTAGTTTTCCAGAATCCGCCCGATGTTCTGAATAACATCATCGTACACATCTACCTCAATGCAAAGGGAAAACAAAGCCATACGGTAGCTACCTCAGGCCCCATTAAAGGACTTTTTGGCATTGGCACTTCTCATGGGTTTGTTGCATATACTTAGGCTAATTCTACGTTGAGATCCCAAAACCTTTCTAGAGGTCCAGGAACGCACACAAACCCAATTGTGATCAAGAAAGAATTTGATCGCGACACTTTGGAATTTGTTGAGGAGGAAAATGCCAAGGTTAGTTAAAGCACAAGGTCCATCTAAAGGCATTGAATGTATAAATGTAAACAAGAAGGACATTGCCTTAGGAAGCTCGTGATGCTGGCTTGTGCTTCTCGTTTTTTCTGTTCTCGAATATAAAACAGCTGTATCATGAAATTTCCACACTCTTTTGAAAAGTCGAGTCTTAGTTTCAGCTCCGTATGCGCGATGGTCCATCCAACATTGTCGAGGTACAAGCGATGGTCTCCACGCCTGATCGAAAGATTGAAAATACTCTGAACAAAGCTGTAAATACTGAATTGAATAGAGCAATTCCCATGGTGATGAACAGGTATAAAACAAAATCTCAGGCGCTACCTAATTTGTCCGATGGTGATATCCTTATTTTAGGATGCGAGGTCCGATGCAAAATCTGGACGACGAGCTGAGAAAAGAGTTGGAACAAGCTTTGGTGGACGAGTTGGCAAAGAATTTGGGAGAGACTATTGATAACATGGGTCCGAGTCCAAGCGATGAGGATTTGGGAGCATTAATCGGTCAGTGATTCTAGTAAGAGCAACATGTACTGCCTTTGGCCGTCGTCTTCACGGACTACTGTTCCTTTTCGCACACCTTAATGTATACCATGTGAGGACCAGTAGCCCACGAATGCGAAACAACGACAGCATTCGTTTCTCTACCCAGTGATTTGGAAAGTTTGGTGATATGGGCATGAATTAAAATGAATGAACAAACGGATAAATAAATATTTAAATAAATAAATGGATGAATCAAAGAACGAACAAAAGAAAAAATGAATGAATAGATGTGAGGAACCGAACTGCACGATTTTTCAAAAATTTATTTCAGAAGAGGGTTTTAACGAGATCAACAAGGATCTGACGTCTTCCACCACCACAACAACTCAGCGCTCAACGACTACCAAGCAGACAACAACGCGCAGGACAACTCGTCCAGTTGCGATCATAACTGCTCCTTCACCCGATAGGGAGATACCACCTCCACCAGCGCCCGAAACCACCTCAAGGACCCAACCACCACGCACATCCCGGATAACTACCACTAAAGCCCCGTCCACAACTACAGTATCCCCAACACCGACGGTTCCTTGGTGGTGGACGATGTGGACGAAAACAACTACTCCGCGCACGACGAACAAAGTTCCCACCACGACCGAGGCTCCCACTACGATTACAGTACGCTGGTGGAGGAACACCACGACCGAAGCTCCCGCCACGACCACTATGCCATGGTGGAGGACGCATCGGGTGTCTACCACAAAGCCGAGTACTCCGTCAACGATAGCGGCAGAAGTGACGACTAGCACAACTCGTCCGAGTACCACTGCGCGAACTCGCTCTACCACAACTTCAAGGAGGACAACTGCTACGAGCACTTCAAGAGGCACGACTGAAAGTCCCACAAGAGCCACTACCACAGAAGCTGCATCTCCTAGTACAACTACCATACCATGGTGGCGAACCCATCGCATAACTTCTACAACACCCGGAACTTCATCGACAACCGAAAAGGTGACAACAAGCACACATCGGGTGCCGACAACTACTACAAAAGTGTTCATGACGACCTCTACAGTTCCTAACAGGTGGAAGACCACCGAAGTCGCTCTCAAGGTCCCCGGAGTGAAGGTAGTATGCTTTAAAGCAATATCCCAAAATCATTTTTTGTGATTTAGAGCCCACCAGAGTTCAACGAAGATGAAACTCCCGAAACAACAGGTATGGGAAGAATCTTCGTTTATATTGCAAATAAATTGAGTTTAGAGAAGGCTACACCTGCTTGGCCTGTACCATCAATAGACGAAGAATCCGAAAAAGACCAAGAAAGGATCGCACCATTTAGACCTACAAGACCTTCACATCCCAAATGGACAGGACAAGTTGCTCCTGCCAGAAAATCCGAGGAGGAGCAAGAAGAGGAGGAGCCAAAATTTGTCACATCACGACCGATTCACATAGTGTCGCTGGATGGTAGGTTTTTGCCAGTTTGTCTTGCAGTTTTAGGAGTCACTTCTTAGAGGCGACATTCGAGAAAAAATCTCAGAACAATGTATTCAAATTTTGCTTAGCTCAAAGATGCAACTCCAGCCTAATTGCCTGTTGTAAATATCAGTCTTCTAAAAAACTTCCGATTTGTTTAACAGGATATGAACTAAATTTTGAAGGTCCTTTAAAAGGTTAGCGTCCCCAAACCAGGAACTGAAAGCAGAAAAATTCTTCTAAAAGTCAAGATGTGGTAGCCTACCCAGGGTTCCAAGCAGTTCTATCGAGTTCATTTTGAATGTTGCTCAAGCTGGGTTCACCCGGAACTTACTTTTTATCGACTTTCATTTCGGCAAAGAATTGAAAACGAGCTCGGATATCCCAGGCTTTACCCAAATAGACTTTTTTTCGAGCCAACCCTTTGTTCCTTTTTGGGGACATGCATCAATATTGTATTTCTTTTTGGGGAACCGAAGCACCTTCAACTAAAGGCTTTTGCAAGAGTATGAAGGATATATTCTCGAGGCAGCAAAGATTGCTACTTTACTATCGTAATAATTTAGAGCTCCATGTAGGCAGGTAAAACTCAAATAATTTCGAGCGTCTAACATTAGATGAGGAGAACATACTTTTGTTCAGCTTGATCAGCAGAAACATATTGTAAAGAAGTACATAATGTGTCCAAAATCAAGAGGAATCTGCTCTTTTCTACAAGATTATAACACTCGGAATATCAAGGTTTCAAAAATCGATAAGACAAAACTTTTCAACCCAAAAACCCCTGCCATAATTCCTAAATTTTTTGTTTTCGTGCCCAAAACAGATTCAGTTGTTTACAGAAAGTGCTGAGACAGTAACAACTACCACGCAACGTGGCACTACTATGGGCCGACGTGTCACTTCCAAACCTTCTCCTCCTCCGGCTTCGGTAAGTTTTTTTTTGACAATTTTTTTCAATAACTTCGTGAAAATGCAGTTGGTTACCGTCACCGGTAGTCTCATAGAGCGATTGCATAGGGAAGTGACTTGCTAGCAGTAATTTTGAGCTTATATTCGCAGGTCTGAGGAAAAAATTTCAAAACTGAAGGTTTTGTATTTATTATTCAGCCTTTTTTTCAAAATTTGATAATTACAGGGTGAGGCCACACAAACTCCTATATTTGACGAGTCTGCCTTTGAAAAAGGCACCACCACAACTAGAAAGACTGTACCACCTACACTTCTGACGGCAGAACCGGAGCCGACAGTTACCGTACCTACACCGGCCTTCACTGAAAGCCCACCTACAGTAACCACCACAAGGCTCTTCAGAATCCAGAATAGAACATCGACAACAAGTAGCACAACAGTTACATTTGGCACTTTGCCGACTGAAACAGAAGAGCCAGAGGAGGAGGAAGAGCACGTGGTAGTGAAAGGACGTCCAACGAACTTTGGCGATCAAAACATGATGAAGGCGGACATCGAAAAGGTCATGCTAGAAGAAACGTTTACGGAAGATATGGTGGTTGTCACGACGAGTTCTGCAACCACTGCGGAACTTCCGACGCTACTTCCTAGACTCCCGGAGGACTTCGAAAGTACAGCAGTATCGCCACCAGTACCATCTGTTGCTCCAACAGAAATAGAACCTTTAAGCATGGAAACAAGCGAAGTTGATGTGACGAGTTCCGCAACCACTACGGAAGTTCCGACTCTACCTGCTAGACTTCCGGAGGACTTCGAGAGTACGGCAGTATCACCAGCTGAACTTCCCATTATACCTACAAGGACGGAGCCCTCGAGCATGAAGACAACCGAGACTGAAGTGTTCCCGGAAGAAGTGATTTCGACAACCACAGAGGCACCTCCTTTCGAATTTTCTCCGGGAGTATTAGAACCAGATGTCATGCATCGGCAGCCATCTGTGCCAGAAACCACAACGCAGATGGAAATAACGGTTTGTGATGATATTTACAGTTACTCTTTTATATCTAATAGTAAATAGTAATGGGAAAGATCCTTTACGTCTGTTTCGCCGAGCGAACATATCAAAATAAAGTTCAGCACTGTTACTATTGGGCACTCATCCTCAATCTTACTATAAGTTCCACTTTTAGTGAAATAATTCAAGCATCATGATATTTTTGAAAATTATCAAATGCTGGTGGACCAGCTCCAAACTAGTGCGGTATTAAATCACACTTTGAAATTTTCTAACTCGTTGGAAGCGTGCTGCACATGGGCATCATGAGGTAGCTTTTCCTGGATTTGTTTTTTTACTCAGATTCCAGATTATCGTTATAAAGGTCTAGAAACTACAACATATCGTACGTTCCTTGCTGAGTTTGTGAGTTTGACATCATTACCGTAAACTTACCATAAACTTGATTTTGGAGTTGCATGGAAGGAGGTCATAGGAAACGAAAAGCATGTTGAATCAATTCCTTCAAGGGGAAATGTGTTGATTTTGCCCACTCAGGCATCCTCTTTATTTCGATCTCAATCGAAAACTGAAGAAATGATTCTTGGTTTTGGATTTACGGAGGAAACCTCCACCAAAAAATCTGTTTCAAAAACCAATTATCAAATTTAGAGCTCAGTGCAACTCCCTTCGGTTGAAGTGCAACCTATCCCGGGCTCAATAGCAATGCCAAAAGGTGAACCTTTTGCTCAACATTCATAGCCGTATACTCAGAATCGCAAAATACTTCCGGAGAAAACTGAACTTCTAAAACTTCCGGGGCGGACGCTACTATTGGGCCGTGTGGGTGACCCCCACCCTACCTGGCCGCACCCTACCTGGCAGCTCCAATAGGAGTGCTTCCCCGGAAGTCTTAGAACTTTAGTTTTCCACCGAAAGTATTTTGATATTGTCTGAGCATTTTGACATTCAATGGAAGTTTCTGCATTTTCAGGGTCTTGCCCGACTCCGAATGATCACTCAGACAAGAATCGAACAGATGTGCTTTTCTTGCTAGATTCATCTAATTCTTACAACGAACAGAAGTTCATGCATGCCATACAACTGCTCATGGATACCGTAAAGCATTTCAGAAACATTGGGCCTAATGGAACTCAGGTGAGTTGCACGATGAAATATTTTTAGTTTGGATGCATTGTCATTACAATTAGCCGTAAATTATATATCTCAACAAAGACTTTAGACCATTTTAAATTTTTTTGGGATAACATATCATCTAGAAAAAACGCACTAGCTGAAACTTTTTGAGAAACTCTAATTCAGATCTCTCTCGTCCAATACAATACAGAACCTTACCTCGAATTCTCACTCAGAAAACATAACTGCAGACAGTGGCTCATCGATGATATTGCTGATACTGATTATATGCAGGTAATAATTATTTGTAAAAATTCCCCTTTTCTTCTAATTTGGCGTAAGTTTACTTTTTGTAATTTCTTGTTTGCTTTTTTATGATTTTCTATGATTCTCAGGGTGGCAGTATGCTAGGAAAAGCTGTGGAGAAGGTGTCGCGTTTTGCGTTTACGAAAAATCGGGTAAGATCTCTTTGTTCAAGTCCGAGACAATGATACCCGGCTTACTATATGTATGACTAGTAAAAAAAAGTAATAATTGAATTTGAGGGCGATAGACCTGATGCTGAAAATGTGCTTGTGGTGCTGACAGATGGACAGTCGGATGATAAAATTCAGGAGCCTGTTGAGGTCAGCGGCAATAAAACTATTTTTATCTAACCCTACTTCATAAGAAATATGTAACAACTAAAATTATTCTCTCAAGCAAATGAGGATTTATCCACTGAGCTGTCATTGACACCTTTGTCTTCTCGAGATTACTGATATTCAGATAGCCAAGAAGAACAATGTGACTGTATTGGTAATTGCGACCGTAGAGGCAAACCCCAATTACATTATGGAACTTGCAGGTCTAATAATCTTCCAAAACATATGTGTCCCTTGTCTTCAAGCAGATTGGCCGCTGGAAGGCGGGGCTTCATGACCTAAGAGGCAACTGCTCGCGTCCGTGACGCAGTCTGCGCCTTCCTCGCGAATATGCTCTTTGATCATTTTCTAGCCTTAATTAGGTCACGGAGCCCCATCTTCCAGCCGCCGATCTGGTTAAAGCGCGGGGTAATACATAGTATTTCGTAATTTTCGTAGAATGAGTTTTTTTCCAGGAAATATGGACAACGTGTTCCGCTTCCATACAGATCCACATAAAAGGCTTTCACAAAAACTTGCTGAGCGGATAATGTCCTTGTCTTCTGGTAGGAACATTGTCATTTTTCAAGAGCGACAAAAGCTTTTGTCATTTTGCTAACATAAGAATTCTAGCCGCAACACTGTCAGTAGCTCCCGCAACTGCTACACAACCTACCCCAACGACAACGATGCGAATTCTCGGACCTCATGAGATGTTCACAATATCTATGCCAAAACTAGATAGCAACGCTGTTGCACAGGAAACAGTTGACGAAGGACTACAAAGTAAGCCTGCTTAAATTACAAATCCGCACCAAAATTAAGAGATTTATTACAATGCATTAGACGTAAAGAAAATTCGCTTTTCGAGAAAAAAATTCACTTCGAGAGGAGATGTGCTGTTTTGGTACACTTGGTTTGCATGCAATGAGATCTCATTTAAACTCCCGATCACTTCCTTGTATGTCCTTCTGTTTAGGTATGTTAGTTGAACATAGTAGGAGAAAATTTTTTAGAATTAGATTCTTTCCCTTTGAGAAATCAATCTCATTGTCTGTATCAGAAATATGAGCGAAAACTGGAGCCTTGACTTCGTTTCGTTCATCGTCTTGAACAAAATTTATGTAACAATGATGTTTTCCCTCATCTGTTCTCTAAGGTATCTGATGAGAAGTTCCGCAAGAGTTTTAGAAACGTTCTGACAAAGCTTTGGTTATTAGTTTTTTCGGATCTAGACTATCGCCGAATGAGAATTTCTACTAGCTTCACTTTGGCACGTAAATGACATCACAGTGAAGTTCGAAAATTCTGCGAGCACACGAATTAACTACTTTTTATTAATGAAATTTACAGCTGGTACCGGCCATCATCTACCACCTTCGTCACCTATCGTGCCAACCGTTTCTACACTCCCATGGAGGGGAAATGAACCAGAAGGTTTTGTGCATTTAGAGTGCTCACATCTTGGCTTTAAGGTGAGCGATAATTATTTGACATTAAACATATTGATTTTATTGATTGCAGATCAAATTCAATCTTCCTGGCGATTTCAGCGGCGTAGCTCAAGTGAAAGGACAAGAAGATAGGGAGGAGTGTCGGAAGGTGAATTTAAAGTCACATTAGACATAGCTAATTTGACCATTTAGGAAATCCGACCCACAGAGGGTTCCTCCAATTCATCGACTGAACTTTTCGTCGCTACGAAAACTTGTGGTGTGACACGAGTGAAATCAGTAAGTCAAGCAATGTTCGTTCTGATCTCCTCTTTCATTTTTTTCCTTGCAGATAGAGCCACCTGGTCAGAATTACTCTCTCATTCTTCTCCTAGCTCATCATGGATCCCTTGTGACTGAAAGAGACAGAGCTTATCTGCTACAGTGCTTCATAGGAAAACCTACTGTCGATGCAGAACTGTCCGCTGATCTAACAGTAATGAAAGGGTGAGACATAAATATATTCAAAACCTCTGTAATCATCAAGCTCAAAGAGATTTTTTTGTAGGGAACTTATGATTGCCGAAACAATCACCTTGACTTCTGTACCTCCAACTTGCTCCTATTCGATACGAAAAGACTCTCCCGATGGGCCAACCGTCAAAACTGCCATCGTAGGCGAAACGGTTTATCATCGATGGGATTGCGATGGTGGTGAAGGTAGGAGAATTTCCAGAAAGGGTAGTCCAGTCCCGTTAACATCTGTATGAGTAGAGAGAAGGCATTTTAAGGAAAAGCGAGTGAATTTTATATTGAATACCATTGACAGGGACCCAGGAGCGTTTAAAAATTGGTTCAGGATATGTAAAACCTAGATGCAAGTAATCAGCGAGAGTTTGTCATAATGAGCCACTGTTTTGCAAATTGATAATTGACAGGGAGAGGTCATGGTCTTAAAAAGAAAAAGAGCAGTCAGTACCTTTCCGAAACATGAGCAATTTTACGCGATTTACACTTACTGCTTATCCAAATAGAATTCAAAAAATCTTGAAAATTTAAATTACCCCAGTAACAGACACTGCTTAAAGATGACAGTCGGCATCTCGTAGGACATAGGTACAGAAAAAACTGTAGAGCGTGGAAATTAAAGCATGATAAATTATTTCAGAGGCCAATCATGTGTACGGTATACAGATCCATAGCTGTTATGCAAGTGACGATATTGATATGAAGTTCCCAATAGTCGATAAGAAAGGGTAGGTTTGGGCATTTGGAATAGACCCTAATTTGTTTATTTGCTAGTGAAACTAATTTTCAGGTGTTCATCAGACTTGGCTTTGCTATCGGATCCGAAATATATGGACGACCGCTTATCGGCGTACGCTGAAAGCAAAGCATTCGCGTTCCAAAAAGCGGAATCACTCAAATTTGTCTGCAAACTCAGCTTATGTACAAGGGACGGGGATGGCTGCGAAGGTGTTACGGTAAGTCTACTTTAGCGCAGAGACTACGAAATAGCAAAACATGTTCTTTAGCCCCCTACCTGTGGCGGAAGCTCTCCAGATCTTCTAATCACTCGCCGGTTACGACACCAGAATGTCCTAGAAGGAGCTTTGAGCTCTGCGCTTTCCACCAAAGTCGACGTAACCTCCGAACGACCGCCTTTGAGCCGGGTAGTAGATGTTCTTTCATCGAAAGGCTCTCTGATACTGCTAGCTGTGCTAGTTGTCGCCGCTATTTTGGGTTCTGGTAAGTGGAAGTTATTTAAAAGATGATTTTTTCCATAAGTAAGTGCCACCTTTCAGTGCTACTGGCTCGATATGTACGACATCCGGTAGATGCCACCACGATATGTTCCGATCCAGAAACGCTCATGTCATCGCCCACATCTCCTATTCCACCCTCAGAAACAGCTAACACCTTACCACGGCCAACTTCTTTTGTTGAATCCTCACACGCAGAAGCAAATCAACGGCTGGCTGAGTTTATGAGGAGTTTTGATCGGTCGAGATACGTATAGCTTAATTTAATTGTATTTGTCACGGTGCCATATAGATTGTTTTAGTTGAGGCAGTATTTGATATACGGCCACAGGGTACCTAATTATTTTGATGCCCATCCTCCTGTCAGGTCGTCTGCGTTTCACTTACTAATTTTATTTCTTTTATAGATCATGCTCCCTTTTATGACCTAGTCTCGGAGCGGTCAGTGTTTGAGCAGATTTAGCTCAAAATTGAATTCGAGATCCTCATTTATTATCTCTTTGTTTTGTTGACTTGATTCATAACTGTTGTGATTATGCCGAGATTGATATTATATATAATAAAACTTAACAGGTTTTTTTGTATCCCGCAAGGACAGCAGTACATCACGTCATCAGTGTTGACATTGGGCGCTCAACCTACTATACTTGAGTCGAAATCGATTAGAAATTTAATCATTCGAATAAAACATTCGAATATATTCGCATTCAAAATTCGACATTTGGAGTTTTTCTATTTTCAAATAATATTCGGAACTCTAATTGAGAAAACGGAAATACAAGTAAAATTCGGAAACTCGAATAATGAATAAACGAAATTTCGTTTAGATTTTTATTTGAATGTTTATTCGAATTCGTATTCGAGTGAATTCCATATTCAGATTATTCGAGTGTATTGCAGAGCCAACTGCTGAGTATCAAGCTCGCTCCCTCTGCATTTTTTCCACAAAACTCGGCAATGCATCTTTTTGCAACTGCGATAACCTTTGAACTGTTTGAAAAGTCCATTCCTTCGATGGTTGCGACAGCAAAAAAATAGGTGTGGATTTTAGTTGATGCTTATCAATAAGATAGTTCGTACTGCTTAGCAGCAAATCAGCAAATGGAGATCGACACTAGTGAGCGCTTTTGCTTGTAAAACTCATGCTGCACAACTGGCTCTATTCTTTACCTTGAAGATTTTTTTGCGGTTGGTGTATTTTGAGTAAAGGAGACACCGCAGCTTATTGGAAGATTAGACGGTTGCTGAATTTTTTATATCATTTTGCAATAAACTTTTGTTTGGGAGATAATGGGAAGTAAACTATGACGTTCTATTGATGTATAGAATAGTTGCCAACCGACCAAATTCATCGATTTTTTGAAAAAGCTGCGGAGCTGGGTGTTAGTACAGGGGCAAGTGAGGGTGCTGCTGATTATGGATAAAAATCTACTTTATCGATTTTATAATTTTCTGAAAAACTTAGAGCTACTGGGCTGGGAGTTGGAACAAGGGGGTAGGTGCAAATGCTGATTATGTATAAAAATTTACTTTATCGATTTTATCGATCTTTGGAGAAGTTTGAGCTACGGTGCTGTGAGTTGGTACGGGGGGGGGGGGGGGAAAGAGGGTGCCGATTAAAAATAAAATCTTTATCGATTTCACCGGTTTTTGGAAAATCTTGAGCTAGGAGTTGGTATAGGGAATGTGATGGTGCTGATTATGAATAAATTGGCTAGCCCAATATGTTAGCAAGTTTTACTAGGTTGTAAGGAAAGTTTCCGGGCACTTTTGAAATTTTCATTTTCAAACGCATTTTTTCTGCGCTCGGTGGACTTTGACACCAAGTTTTTTTATACTGTTCAGTAGAGGGAAGCCTAAAGTTTTCAACAAGTCTTCTGACTTTTATCAATACCAGACGTGTTTGATTTGCATGTCAAGAAGAGAAATCTTTCTAACCACAAAAACTTCACAATTTTTCTTCCTACGGCCACTTTTTTGTGCAATTCAAAGAATTTCGTCAAATCATGGATGATTTGATTGAGAAGCCTGTTAACTTCTGGCCCACAGCTGCACTTGAGTATTGCGTTTTGCGCTCAGAAATTACAATCTGGCGTCGCTTCTTTGGGGTCGCCACGCTTGAGTGATAGGTCCAAAAGATGTGCAAAGCATTACCCCAACAATGTTCCCGGTAATCAAAAATTTGGTCCTTTCTGTGCAGAACTAAAAGACTTCAAAGTCACTTACTCAAAAAATTGTGCATTTTTGCCTGCAAAATATGGTCGATTTTTCAAATTCTCTGGAAAAAATTTTTTGCAGCTTTTCGCTCGAAAACTTAAATAAGTTCCGTAAGAGCCCCAGTAGACTTCTATACAACTGCAGCATCTGAACTCCCCAGCTCTCATCATGCCTGAGATAATCCTGCACATATAGGCCACTTTTCGCGACGACCTTTTTCCTCTCTGCGCGTGCTGGTGGACCGCAGTGAGGTGCTGGGAGGCTAGCAAGACAAATATATGTTGTGCACAAAATTGTTTTTGCAATGAAGTTTCTAGCTTCAAAAAAGAATTAATTATCTTGAGGTTACAGCGATTTGAAAAAAATTTTCGCAAGTGCAGGGGAACTTTCTTTACAACCTGATAGGTAGTTGCTCTAGTTATTCAGTAAAACATTCGAATATTTATCTGAAATTCGTCTCCCAATGTTCGAATATAATTGGTATTCGTTCATTCAATATTTTTGATTTTCCGATTTTATCCGAGATTCATTTATCCGAGAATTTTCAAACCTCAAATTTATTCGATAACCGTTTAATTCGAGGTTTTTTTATTTTCAAATTCAATCGATATTCGTTTATTCGAAATTGTTTCAATTTCGAATTTATTCGAAACGTTCATTTGATGAAAAATTCGAATTCACCCAAGTATACAGCCTAGCACTTCTCTTTACTTCTCTCCTCATCCTTCCCGCAAACGGTCGGCTAGCTCCTAGCTCTGACCTATACCATCCACCAAGGATAGGATCAAGAAGACAAGGTGGAAGAAACCGTGGCTGGTCCACTGCGTCTACTTGGGAGAAGTCATGGACCAAGATAGCAACGTCACGAGAATGCGCTTTGGCACGAGCAAGAATAAATTCTATCATCGAAGACGATCGAAGTCGAAGTCGCCCAACTCAAGCCATAAACGGAATCATCGCGGTACTAATTGTATATAACCGCTGAGTATGAATAAAAGTAAGTAAGTATACAGCCTAGGCGACTCCGTGCACACAACTATTTCAGGAACGAAATTATTGCAGTAGTCCGCAGCACCTCGGCCATAGTAGCTCAGCTAAAGCGCGCCTAAGTTGATCTTATGATGCTATTCCAGCATCAACCGCCTATTCATTAGGATGCCAATCGCTCTGTGGGCGAACGTGCGCGTTTACACAGAAAGAGCAGCTTTACCTTTTGTGCAGGTATCATCAAATGATAATCAGATTGGTGGATTATTGCAAGATGGGAAGGGGTATGTTCCGAGTCTTGCCATCAACATCATTCTTGCCATATCGCGAGGATTCCTTAGTAGCTCCCTGCTGCAACGAAGAGAGTAAAACGGAATCACTATGTTTTAACAAAAATTTTTGGTACAGTCGAGTAGATTTTCTGCTTAATATAGTGTCCCTGCAGACGCGACAACGCTGAGGCGTCAATAAATGCCTTGCGAGTCCCCGAACTAGTGTTTTCCATTGTTTTCTTTGCTTATTTCATGCTTTTTAGTTGATTCGTTGCTGATAAAGAGAAAAAGGGTGAGTTAAAGAGTAGTTTCTGTTTTCTGAGAAGTTCTGTCATCGCATATCCACAGATATTCACGTGGAAGCATTTCGCGTCAGCTTCTTGTCTATTTTTTTTCTGTCATTTCCTTCTCTTCTGTCTCTTCTTCTTTCAAACCTCCTCCTTATTGTGAGGCGTTTCTTTGAACGCTAGTTGGCTTGCCTTGCAGCAATTTCGGCTTTCATCCATAAGAAATAGCATTTTAATCAGTTACTTCATGTGATAAAGATAATAAGTCAATCGTAAAAACCCACTAGCATTCAAAGAAGTACCTCACACGAAGAAAGAGACATGAATTGACAGAAAAATAGACAAGAAGCTGACGCGAAATGCTTCCACGTGGATATCTGTGAATATGCGATGGTAGAACTTCTCAGAAAACAGAAACTACTCTCTAACTTAACCTTTTCTTCTTTATCAGCGACGAATCACCTAAAAAGCATAGAATACGCAAAGAAAACACTGGAAAACACTAGTTCGGGGACTCGCAAGGCATTTATTGACGCCTCAGCGTTGTCGCGTCTGCAGGGGCACTATATTAAGCAGGAAATCTACTCGACTGTACTATTCCAGTATACCGACTTCCAAAGTTAAAAATTTCGGATTTCGCTCAAATTCGGTATAGGGGGGTTATTCGATCCGCTGATGCCGAATATCATATAGATTCTTTGCGATAGCGCCATTTTCCGGGGGTTACGATGGGTATAGGTAAGGGTCAAAATCACGAAATTCTCTGAAACTCAGTGCAGAGGGGTTATTTGACATGTTGGACACGAATACGATATTCATTCTTTACGGTAGATCATTCAGGGGTTACGGTAGGTATACAGTAAGAATCGCAATTCAATCGCAAATGTTTTCTCTTTTACGAAAGCAAGCAGCGTGTGCGGCCGTTGCGGTCAGTGCTCAGCTGCAGTCTGCTGTAGTCTGCTGCGGACAGTGCAGTCAGCTGCAGTCTGTGCGGTAGTATGAAACCACCCTAAGCAAAGCAGGGGGAGGAAATTTGCGACGTGCGTGAACTCGATTTAACGGCAGTATTGGTAATGTATACCCACCGTAACTTTGGAATGAAGCATTATCGTAATGATAAACATCATAATAATTTCTCTCATACCGTGATGATGAGCGGCTGCGTTTAACACTGCTCTGTATACAATTTCGTTTTCTTAATTTCTTGTATATTCTGCTTGAAATTCCATTCCATAGATTCTTGATTCATTAGCTTTTCTCACTGCTCACAGCAACTCTTTCTTTCTCGAGTCTTTATTCTGACACAAATCGAGTTTTTGAATTTTTCTGGGTTTTCCTCAATCGATAACCTCATAACACTCATGCCATCCCGCTCCGGTAGGTCAAATACTCAGACCACTTCTGCCCGTAACTCCAGAAAGACTGTTTCTGCTTCTCAAACTCAAGTTGCTAGAGGTGACTTGGTTGATGGTAGTGCCGATGACGACAATCTTA